AGTACCCTAACTAACCAGTGGTTTTGGGGTTCCCTTGGCTCTTTAGCTCCTTATTTAATAGGGATGATCATCATCCCTCCTCCAATATCAACGGTTAGCTAAGTAGTATGATCCTTATTAGAAGGACCCCAAAATATGGTACCCCTAATTTTCGGAAACTCCCATATGGATAAACCACTGACGGTCCTTATCATTGTAGTTGTAATTACTACTGGTGGTACTGTTCTTCTCCTTATTGCAAACTCATGATTCGAATCATGGCTCTTGCCTTTTGCCATGCTCCTTAGACTGGCTTCCGTATTGCGATCTGTGAGTTCATGGCAATGCCAGAATCACAAAAGCCTCAGCTTAGGGTTTATAGGGTTTAGGGTGACAAACTCCATGCCACACCAGAACCCCCAAGTGCCCTGTAACGGAGTTTTTGTTGGTCTTCAAGGGTGGGTATATGGGGCATTTTAGAGGGTGGTTGATCGGTCCAGGCACGGTCGCCAAGCTCAAAGGTTTTGCAAATAGAAGTCCTCAGTTGGGCTGAAATTTGAGTTGACGACTTGTCATAACTAGTCCTAGGTTGAGATTTGAGTTCACGACTAGTCCAAGCCTAAACCCCAAGCCTTACAGTAAACAACCCACCAAAAAACCTAACAGCCACACAAGCTAACCCTGAAAGCCAAACCCCCAACCTCCCCCCCCACACGCACACACAATTTTGCCTGCATTCTAAGCCTCAGTCTCTCTACAGATGATTATACCGATACCGCAAAAGCCAAAGTCCCTAAACCCTACACTCGACACTCAAAGCCTGAAACTTTTTGCCCTGAGATCAAACCCTGGTTCCCTAAACCCTATTCACTCTGGACTCTGGAACTTACCAATCCCTTGACTTTCATTGCCTGATTCCTAAAAATACACTCTCTGCAAACTTTACTCCTGAAGTGTTACCCCAAGCCCCAAATTCCCCTCCCTAATCCCCAAATTCCCCTAAACCCTAAGCCTTAGTCTCTATGCCCGAGACGGGCTCTGACCAGTGGGTCGCCTCAAGAAACTCTCGCCACTGGCTGCCTGGCAGTTCTTCTCTGCCCATGGCGGGTTTGAGGTTATATGGGTGGTTGTCAAAATTACGGTCCCTTTTTGGGGCCATATTATAATACGGCACCTAATGGGGTTTGAGGCTTTAGAGTTGTATGGTTTGGAGTTCCGCGGATTACACTTTTTTTTAAGGTTTAGGGTTTAGGGTGTAGGGGAAGCCATCAAGATCCCCGTGTAAGACCCTGACCTTCAGCCTACTGGCATGCTTCGGACGGGAGGGGGTGTGTTTTATGATTCTACCAGCCGACACTAGGGCTTCCCCCTACGGGTCCAACGGACTCACATGGGTTCAGGATGTATTAGACGAGCGGATATTAGACGAGTCGATGGTGATCCATCGCAAAACCAGAATCATAACTTGGCTGCTTTCTGAACCCCTCCAAAAAATAAAACTTTTAGCCTTTTTATTATGGTTCATATAGAAACCCAAAAAGTTAAAGTCCTAAGATCCAACCAGCATAACGCCAAGATAAGCTCATCGAAAACCGACACCCTGAATCTGAACGAACCCTAAGCCCAAACCCTGAACCCCACACCCTGAATCCGATACCCTAAACCCTAAAGCCAGGGGTTCAAGCTTCGCGGTTTCCAGTGATGCTAGGCGCGGCCTGCCAGGACTCCTTTACGAGAATCCGTCAGGCGAGCTTAGCTTCGTGGACGTATCGATCTGTTGAGAATTGTGTGCGAGGCCTTACATGAGGCTTAGACTAAGTCTTTAGGGCTTTATGTGAGTTTAGCCCGTCATGCCAGATAGTCACGCAATCAGGTGTTTTTCCGTCCAGCCAGACTGGGAAGGGGTTTGTCGGTGAAGTGTCCTGAAAGCTTGGTAAACAAAATTCATGTTTGTCGTAAGCCAGTGGGATCTTATAGGATGCGTGCATGTGCAACAGGTTCGCATTTTTGTGATGGAGGTATGAAGGATTCTGCACGTCAAGGCCGCATCTTCGAGATGCTTGTGAGAAACCCTGTGCACTGCTGCGTGCACGGATGGCACAGTTGCTGTCTATTCGGGAGCTCGTCCTCCTCACCAGAAGTACTGTCAGTACTGTCACCAAAATTATCGACCCCACTTCACGATAGATCCGTCTTCGAGAATGGCAGCAAAAGCCTTGTCAGCAGCTTGAATCTGCTGCACATTCGTCAGCTGCGTCTGCACAGAGCTGCTGTCGGCACCATAGCCAGCATCACCCCAGGTCACGACGGATCCATGGTCAAGAATGGCGGCAAAAGCGCCTTGAGACGCCTGGATCTGCTGCACGTTCTTCAGCTGAGTCTGTACAGGGCTGCTGTCGCCACCGAACTCAGCATCACCCCAGGTCACGACGGATCCATCGAGAAGAATAGCAGCGAAAGCGCCCCAACCGGCATGGATCTGCTGCACATTCTTCAGCTGAGTCTGCACACAGCTGCTGTCGCCACCGAACTGAGCATCACCCCAGGTCACGACGGATCCATCGCCAAGAATGGCAGCAAAAGCACTGGCTGTGGCTTGTATCTGCTTTACATTTTTGAGCTGATGTTGCACAGCGCTACTGTCACCACCAGAAGAAGCAGCATTTCCCCAGGTCACAACGGATCCATCATCAAGAATGGCAGCGAAAGCGCCCAAACCGGCTTGGATCTGCTGCACATTCTTCAGCTGTGTCTGTACAGACCGGCTGTCGGCACCGAACTCAACATCACCCCAAGTCACGACGGATCCGTCGTCGAGAATGGCAGCAAAAGCAGCGAGGGAGGCTTGAATCTGCTGCACATTCTTCAGCTGAGTCTGCACAGCGCTGCTGTCGGCACCATAGCCAGAATGACCCCAGGTCACGACGGATCCATCTGCAAGAATGGCAGCAAAAGCGCTGTGAGACGCCTGGATCTGCTGCACGTTCTTCAGCTGAGTCTGTACAGGGCTGCTGTCGCCACCGAACTCAGCATGACCCCAGGTCACGACGGATCCATCGTCCAAAACGGCTGCAAAAGCGCCGTGACGACAGGCGCTTATCTGCTGGACAGTCTTCAGCTGAGTCTGCACAGCAGTGCTGTCGCCGGCCGGGCCAACACCCAGGTGACAACGGATCCATCGTCCAGAATGGCAGCAAAAGCCGAACTCGTGGCGTGAACCTGAACCGTGTTACTGCGCAGCAAGGTCAGGGAGTCACCAGTCTGCACCCCAGCTTTCTGGATCAGCGCACATCCTTCCAGGACGCATCCAGACGAGTCCAGGAGACGCCCTGTCCGCACCCCGAGTGCAACCTGTGCTCGTCGTTTCAACGTTCCAACCGTCTCATCCAAGGCTGCTTGCACAGTGGCTTTCTTGCCACTGATCAGTCCCACTTCCACGTCAATCGACATGTTGCGCAATCCCTCACCTTTTTACAATCTAGGTTCGGGAATGGAGACGCGGATTCATCTATTGCTGGTGGACAGAGCTGCATGGGTGTTGGGAGTTTCAAGCACTCCGGCCCTTCCTTGATGCTTGCTTTCACCAGTGTCACACGTAAAGAAAGCTTGAACTGGAATCATGGAGAGAACCCCAGTCCATCGACAGCTTCGCGTTTTAGGGCGTATCGAGTATTGTGTATATAGGAGTGTGATCGTCTGCAGAGTTGACAAAAATACTTCTGGCACAATTCATGCACTTGTGTTGATGATGCGTGTTCGAAAGATTCGATAGCACATGCCATCCCGAAAACCCTAAAACCACGAACCTCCGCCCTCAGCCCCCAGACCCCTAAGTCTTGAGCCTTAAACTCTAAGTCCTAGCGTGTTAGGTACAGGAGTTGTTACAAACATGCAAGTTGGTTGACTATATTGTTCACATCGCAATGCACTACATCGATCACATCTCAATACATCACATTGCAATATCTTAAAGGTCTATAGACTAGGCTAAGTGGGACTGAGATACGTGCATGATACATGCATGCATGCAAAGGTATGCGTACGTACATACGGACAGATCGGCAACGCGACTCGTCTGCGGGTCCGAGTTACTCGTTTGTATCGTTTGAGCCTACAAGTGCCGGTATTGGGTTGTGTGTATACCCACCTGTTGATTCCTTTGATACGTTTATTTCTGCTCTTTTGCTCGTTGAGTGTTTGTTCGTTTGTCCGTGTTGAAGAAGATGTATTGTTCAATTCGAGCGTTTCTTTTGCAAACGAGCGTTTCCCTGTTAATCGAGCGTTTCTGCTCTTGTTTGAGACTTGCCGGGCAGGACATGACTCATGCCACACGTCAAGTGCTGCAGGTGTTCTGAACAATGCCGCCGTGATTTGTTAAAGATACGTTAAAGTAAAACCCCATCGATATGGCTAATGGGTTGATGCTATAGGACTGCTAGGAAATTTTAGCATATAAACCTCAAACCCCTCCCAACCATAGAAGCTTGCAGTGAGCCAGTCGGTGTTTGAACAAAGCTTGGCATGAGCTTTCAGAAAGCTCAGGGCTCCCAGTATTACAGGCTGATCCCTGCAGTGTGCAACTGTCGGCATGTTCGTTGATCTGCCCTCGGCAATGGCGACCCGTTGCCTTACACGTTGCCCCACTCGCGAAGGCACGAACGCATCATGAGCATTCTGATTTGTGCAGCAGGAGGTCGTCGTAGGAAGCCTTGGCTGGTCGTTTGGGGTGCATTTGGAAGATATACTATATAGATTCGATCCGTCCGTCACTTCCTGTTGCCAGGCGATTCTCTCGAACTACTCCATCTTGGGCATGCTTCAGAGCCTGACCAGGTGCGGGCCATCCCTTACTGTGCACCGGATGTGTTCTTGCACTGCATTTGATGGTTGGAGGCATGTGCACGCAAACTTTCCGGAATGTCGCTTTGTGTGTCAAGCTGGCGCAGTGGAGCACAAGCAAGTGCATGTGGGTTCACGACATTGCATAGAAGCTAACAGCTAGCACTCGCTCTGTCCAAGCCATGGATGACACTCCGAGCAAAAATGGTGCCTCCCAGCTCTCTCAGCTTTGGGAAGCTAATGCCACAGTGCGACGTCGTGCAGCTACATACGTCATGGTAGCTTCTACGCATATACTGGCTTGTATGTCATGCAGTCTGCTACTCTAAAGACTCAATTATAGCTCCCGCGATCCAAGGTGAAGTTGCCGCCCAGTGGCCGGATTGATCGTGCTTGTGTCGAACTCAATGAAGAAGTCCTGACACCCATCGTCCAAGAGTTGGGGGCACGAGTTGGGGTCGATGTACTCGAAGAGCACGTGTATTCCCTCTACAAGCTGATGAAGATGGCACTTTCAAGCGCCTTGAAAGTTTGTAACATGTGCATGCACTAGAGTCACTAGCAAAACAACCCACCGCTGGATCAATCAAGGTGCGCAGGCATCTGCTTTGGCCTGGTCTTTGAAAAGGCTGGTTTCGGTCTTCAAGAGATCGATCTCCCGGCCCCACAGGCCCAGGTCGCCTGTGATCAGAAATATCATGCAAGCTGCCGGGATCCCGGTACCAGCCCCTACCGCCGATGATGATGAAAGCACCGACTATCACGAAGATGGCGATGAGGGAGAGGAGGAGGAAGAGTTGGAGGTGGACCCTCCAATGGATATCGAACTGAAACCGGAAGATGCAATCGAGGATGCTGCTAAGGCGGATGCACCCCTGCTCACCCTCGCGCCCCCCCTCAAGAAAGCAAGAACGAAGTCTCTCGAGGAGGGCTCTGCAGAGGCTGGCGCAGGTCCCCTGAAGCCAGTGCCGACGGAGCCCGAACAGGCTGTTTGCAGCGAGCATGCAAGTCCGACCTCCACGACTGCCCCGGTCCCCGAGCATCGGCCTCCCACAGACCCCAGTACTGCCCCTGCTGCAATGACTACTGCTGTTGTCCCAGCTGGCACCATCACTGATGCAACCCCCCCCGAGCCCAATGATGGTGGACGTGGTGCCCACAAAGCCCGGATGAAGAAATTGAGAGCAATTTTGGAGAGCGGCAAGAAAGCGAAGCAGGATGTTGAAGCAGGTGCAATTTCATGGTCATGATTACAAACTGTTATAACATTCAATCTGCACGGGTCGTGAATATGTGGGAGCCCTGGAAGGAACAACGACTCCGTTGTCGTCTGTCTCCACAAGAGCCTCCACCAACGAAGGCCCGAAATACTATATAGACTCGATAGCCCTGAACCCTAAACCTTAAAGAATCTCTGCATCCTCTCTATCTCTCTGTCTCTCTCTCTCTCTCTCTCTCTCTCTCTCTCTCTCTCTCTCTCTCTCTCTCTCTCTCTCTATCTCATCCACCACTCTTGTGTATACTTCTCATGCGAACTTTCTGAAGCGACAGCAATGCAATCCTTGACCCCGGTCCTCAGGTCGCTCGAGTGGCGTCCACGTGGTCGTCTTAATCAGCGAGGATGTCGCGGAGTGCCAGGCCTGTGGACTGACCGGTTCCATTGATATGTTCAACACGATGGAGTGTTCTGGGGCGCGGTTGGCAAAGATTCGGGAACTTGTGCCTAGCCACGCATATAATTCGCACAGAGTGCCTTGTATCATGAGATCGGCTATTATGTCGCTTGTGCTGCATATAAGGAGAGGCTCCGGGAGTTCAAGGAACAGTTGATTGCCCAAAAGCGACAGCGACTGTATGAGCTCGAGAAGATTGGTAAGAAAGCATCTGACGCCCTGCCTGATATCCCCTCAAATCGACGCTGTTCCTCAACTGCACTTGATTATTTATATAAGGCATAAGGTACTCTAGGTTCTATAGAGATGAACGCATATGACATGCAAAGCTGGCCTGACCCAAATGATAATTGAACTCTCGCATTCTTCTCTGAGGCACTGACAATCTGGAGACGCAGGCATGGATGGAGGATGCGCAGCCTCCGTACGATCCGCTGTGCAAGTCTTTGTCTTTTGAAGAAGCCATGGATGAGTGTGAACCCTTGAGTGATCCCGATCCTCTCCTGAGTGTGGGTGGCCCGACACGCGAAACCCTGCCCAGCAGGAAGGAGAAAACTGAGGCATGCGACAAGGGCCAGGAGAAACCTGAGGCAAGCAACAAGGGCCACACGAAACCGGAGGCAGGCGACAAGGACCACACGAAACCGGAGGCGAGCGACAAGGACCAGGAGAACCCTAAAGCTTGCGACAAGGGCCTCGACAAGGTACCAGCTCACTCCCCCAAGAAGGCCCTGAAGCCTGAGGCATCGCTTCCTGCAAAGCCTGCCTGCATGCATAAGATTCCTGCTTCTATGTCACCCGATGAGCAGATGGGTCGCAAAGCCAAGTGTGAGAAGGAAACGGCTGAAGCCGACGAGGAGGAGGAGGAACAGGAAGAGGGTGAGGAGGATGTCGAGATGGGCGAAGGCAGCCAGGATGACGAGGATGAATGTGAGGAGGATCTGGACGGAGAGGAAATGGAGGAGGAGGAGCAGGATGGCGCATCAGATGAGGAGAAGCCAGCGAAGCGACCAGCAGCCAAGATCGCCATGAAGAAGGCACCCAAGGCGAAGGCCAAGGCAAGTTCCAAAGGAAGGGGAAAGGGAGGAGCCAAAGGCAAGCCCAAGGCAAAGGGGAAGGCAAAGGGCAAGGCAAAAGCAAAGAGCTCACCAAAGGCACCCAAGAAGAAAACTGATGATGAGATGAAGAAGGTTAAAAGCAGAAAGTCGGTGGCCTACCACAAGGCGCGGGCCGAGGCACTCTCTGCAGGAATGTCGGTGGAGGAGGCATCCGAGATCGGCAAAGAGGCTACTTGCCTTAATCGGTTACACCCCAGTCTCCAAAGGTGCAAATCCCAAAGCAATCCATTGACAAAACATGATAGATCTCTTTCTAAAGCCCCTAAACCCCTAAACCCGTAACCCTGAAACCCTGAAACCCGTAACCCCTAAACCTGAAGCCGCACTCGATGATTACTAGACCGATATGGTGGTCTAAGGTTCTGGACAATATATTACTCCTCTTTCTTATGGGCTGCTTCTCTAAACCCTTGTGGGCCTGTTGCTGTTGGCACCAACCAATTTATACAAATCCCAAAAGCCTGGCCTCAACCCTAAACCTCGATCTAACACCCCGACTCGATGCAGTCTATGCTGTGTGTGCATGCATGCCGATCTGAGGCGTATCGCTCCACGAACTAGTTGCTTGACATTTGGCCAAGCAGAAGCCAGCAAGTTTTGATGATTTTGCTGGATGGGCTGTAGGGTCCCTGGAAGACATGCACGCAGTATGCTGCGCAGTGATTAGCTTTCGTTCACTGCCGAACCAGGCATTCCTGTGGTGCCGGGCTAGTGTGATGTATACTGTGCAGAGTCGACACCAGGCTTTTAAAGTGCTTTGAAAGCACTACGAGTACTTTTGATCGAGACGGGGCTATCTCGAGCATCCGACCGAGCATCTGTGTGATGAGAAGGGCCGGAACAAATTGTCTGCCATGCACTGAGTACAGCTTGACTACGGTTATGTGCATTGCTCTGTGTCCCAATTCTTTTGTTGCTGCTTTTCGCTGCTCGCGCAGGTCTCGGTGATGAGCTATGGAGAGGTGGGCATGCCGATCTATGTCAAAGGGCACTGCTGCCAGGTTTGTTAAATTAGTCGCATCTCGCCTATGGTTGCTTGCGCCGATCACTTGAATGTGTGCTTTGTCCGGTAAGACTGGGCTTCAGAGTGCATGTTGTGCACAGCTGTTAAGCCATGCCGGTGCCACGCTGGGAGTCCCTGGTTCCAAGTCTGGTGCAACTACAAGCACCCAAGGTGCACAATGCGCTACATTGCACGTACCATGTACACGTGCTCTGCATGCACGCATGCTTTTCTATACTGTGCAGTTAATGTGCTGAAGGTCTTGATTGCGTGCGTGCGGCGGCTGCACTAGCACTGGCTATAGGGAGATGTTGATGTGCACACACGCATGATGTAGGTGCTTTAACGACGGCCAATCCCGCGCCTTGAGGTGCTTCTGATGACATGGACCCAGAACGTCGACCTGCGGATGCAGGTGGAGATGTTCGAGCTGTTCTGTGGTGATGCGAGGGTGAGCCAGGTCTTCAGGCAAGCTGGTGTATCAACCGTATCCTACGATGTGCAGTACACGCCAATGGCAAGATCAATGGACTTTTTGTCATCAGCAGGCTTTGTGTCAAGGGCTTAATTATATATATGTTCGACAGTGGATGCATGTGCATGCAATGCAACCCTTTGGTTACTATAGCCTTAGGTTGGCGATGGCATGTGTTCTACGACAGAGCCCCAACGCCATGAACGTATTGGCCCCGGCGTGCTCAAGTTGGACCCAGATATCCCGGGGAACATCGTTACGATCTCCTATAAACCCGTGGGGTCGAGCAGCTCTGGACTTTGTTAAAGATGGTACGATGACGGTTTCAAGGCTCGGACTACTATGATGCAGCTTAGAACTCAAGCTAGTAAAAGTATCTTTCCAGGATGGTGCTCCTGCTGCTCCTCATCGTGTCCGTCCACGCAATGTTCCTCATAGAACAACCAAGGGGCTCAGATGATGTCTTCCCCTACCACGCCCGGTTTTCGTGGTTCGTGAACAAGATTTGTTATGTGCCTCGTGCTGATGGTTTAGTACTGAAAGCTGATCACTGCATTACGTCCGAAAACGATCGGTCCTCTCATAAGACCTTACAACATACGCAACGTCAACCCTCAGCCCCAGCCGACAAAAACCCAATTACGAGTATAGCCCTAACCGGTCCTAACCCTGTTATAGTCCATGTGTGAATATAATCTAACCGCGATGTGCCAGCGGCGGCAGAAGGGGATTCGGAACAAGGGCCAGGGGCTTCATGAGATTGGGGAGATTGCTTGCTACCAGGATTTCGAGGTTTTGGCTTTGGATTTGAACCGGTGTGGGCGGTGTGGGGTATGGATCCATAACTATATAAGTGTGGGCCCGGGCTTGCCTAGCTCTGGTTTTGGGTATGTCGCGAGTAGAGCAGCAAAAGCAGAATGGCAGCTTATAAGTCGTCGTCGTAGTAGTAGCTAGTGGTAGCAGCAGAATGTCGTCTACTATATTAACCTATATATGCATTATAGACGATATACAATATGCTATATGTATACTGCTAACTATAGTACTACTACGACGACGACTGCATCACGTCTACTGCTATTACTGCATGTGTTTGGGGCTGCCTATATACGTTTGCTCGCTGCTACACATTAAATAGTAATTATAGTGGGAAGTGTATATATATATATACACACATATGGATGTCGTATGAATAAGCATAAACTGCAGATCTCAGATCATATACTACTCCCACTACTGGATATTTCGGCTGAGATCGCCAGGTTCAGGGCGTGGTATTCTCGACGCATGATTTGTGGGAAAAGTGTTCAGCTCATATAGCTTTCTTTCAGCTCGGGGGTTTCGTTCATGTCGTCGATTTTAATTATATAAGCTATCTGCTATCCGATCGGGAGGGTTTAGGCTGGGTAAGGTTTAGGCTTTATGGTCAACCTAAGACAGCAGCTTGGCCACGTTGTCTTCAGTCCTACGACTGACACTAGAAACCCTACTATGCATCCTATGCCCCCTTTATCACAACCAACACGGCCTATAGTCTTAATTCATCAGGCCTGATCATCACCGGCCAGGGCCCACCCTGCAGCGCAGGTTGGAGCAATGATAATATTGTCTGCATTACCCACATGCAATCGAACAGAGCACGCAATCCTACGAAGTCGAAAGCCTGCCCAACACACAATGCAAAATACTTCCCGTCCCTGAACCTCAACAGTAAACCATGTGTACTAGCTTACCAGTGCCTAAATAACTAACATATGCTGCCCAGGTGTTTCGCGACACTTTCTACTTGCAGCATTATGATGCTCCAACCCCGAAGCCGACTATCATATGGACGAATGCAAAGGCCTTTGCTGTTGGCTTTGCGTCAGACTGAGTTACACTGAGTCATATGCAGGCATTGTATAAAGGTGCAATCGAATTTCCACTGCTAGCCGAGGATGCTGGCCCATTGCATCGTGCGCAAAACCCGAGCCGTATCTCAACGGCCCGTCAGATTCCTACCAGCCTAGGATGATATACCGAATGGTGCAAATCCCAACTCCTGTGCTGCAAGGCCACTTCGTGGACAAGAATGGTGTAAGGCGCTTCACTGGCTTCAAGAAGGAGCTTCGAGACAGTGGGTGGGGCTCCTGGCTAGCTAGAAAGATGGCAGTATTCTCGGAACTATTACTACCAGTATGCTGTTGATGGCTTAAGACGATATCGCGGCCATTCTATGTCTTCTTCTGCTCCTGCTGCAGCTGCTGAGCTGCATATATGTAGATCACCCCAAACTGGCCATAAACCGGAAGCCTCGATCTTGTATATGCTAAACCGAAAACAGCAACAAGAACAACAGCAAAACATAGCGATACACAATGGCATCCCACTCCCCAAACAACAACAACAAAACAACCACAGCCACAGCCCCAACCACAACTGCAACGGCCACCACAAGCACAACCAGCACAACCGCAGCCAGAGCAGCAGCAACAATAACAAGAAGAACAAGGGCTCAAAGCTGGGCCGCCGCTCCTGCTAGCACGTGCTACTGGTACTATCTATCTATATATATATATATATAAGTATATATACGACGACGATGACAAGAAGGACGAACGTGACTACGACTCGACAACAGCTAGGACTACTGTTACTGCTGCTGTTGCTACTACTAGTACTACTACTACTACTACTACTACTACTACTACTACTACTACTACTACTACTACTACTACTACTACTACTCCTGCTGCTGCTGCTGCTGCTGCTGCTGCTGCTGCTGCTGCTGCTGCTGCTATACTATATATGCATAATATAGTACGACTACTACGACGACTACCAGTACTAGTACTGCATTAAGCTACATATATATATATATATATATATATATACTACATATACTTCTGCTACAACTACCACTACAACGACTACTATAGAGAGTACGTACCGTTGCTATATTATATAAAAAGATTGTATAACTGCTACTCTATATTATATTGTACTGGTGCTACTACGACGTCTACTATTACTACTACGGTACTACATATAAGTACTATTACTAATAATTCTAATACTACTACCACTACCCCTACCACTACCACTACCACTACCACTACTACTGCTGCTGCTGCTACTACTACTACTACTATACTACTACTACAGCTGCTGCTGCTACTACCACCATCACCACCACCATCACCACCACCACCACCACTACTACACAACTTGTTCATGTATATATTCACCTGGTAATGCTTTCCACCACCAACAACACAGACATAAATGCATGCAATCGGCGTGTGTAATTGCATATAATCATGTGCTACCTGTACTACGTACAGTACTCGTACTTCTACATATACTTATTTATAGCGCTAGTACTAGCACTAGTACTACTACGTACTACTACATTACTACTACTACTGCTGCTGCTGCTACTACTACTACTACTACTATGTACTACTACGACCACCACCACCACCACCACCACCACCACCACCACCACCACCACCACCACCACCAGCACGACTACCTACTACTACTACTACTACTACTACTACTATAAGTGACTATACTCTCATTTTCTACTACTGCCACTCCCACACACCCCCACCACACCCCCCACCAGACACCCCCAGCACACCCCACCACCACACCCCCCCACCACCCCCACGACACCTCCCACCACACATCCACCCCACTTCCACAGCACCCGCCATCTCCACCACGCCCCTCACCACACACCCCCTCCCCCACGCCCACATCACAATCCCCCACCATAGCCCCACCACTTTTATTGTTATTCTTATTGCTTCTACTACTACCTCGAAAACTACCACTACTACTACTACTACTACTACTTCTGCTACTGCTACTGCTACTACTATACGTACTACTACTACTACTACGACGAGGACGACGGCGACTCTACACTCTAGCTACGAGTACCACTTTCGGCTCGTTTTGCTACTACTATATTACTAGTTGCTATTCTACCTTCTGCCTCCCAGGTCTTACAGCAAGGCCTTTGGCAAGAAGATCTTGGAGCTGTGGCGACAGGAGTGCACAGCTGAGCAGCCTCGGCTTTGCATGCGACAAAAGGTTCACATCGATTCGCGAATGACGGACAAGGAACTGTTCCAGTCCCTCCCTCTTGGAGATACGTGGCCCGATGCGGAAATGGTTCAGGTGTGGGCCTACTTGTATAAGAACAAGAAGCTGATTGTGCCAAGTTCATGGCAAAGTACGATGGATAGCTTCAATTCGGAGCTGCTGGAATCAGTTCCTTGACCTGTGTGTAGCTAATTGCATCATGTCGGTTTGCAAGCCCAGACCTATAGTGTCCTCAGGTGCTGCACGACCACCCGCTGCGACAAGATCTGCTGAATGCACATGCAGGGGCCTGACTGGGCCTGACCAGAGCTTCTTGATGCTAGAGTATACGGAGGGCATTTGTGGTGCCGTTTTTGCGGGATTTGCTTTTAAAGGCATGTTATACTGTAGCCAAAATAATTGCGCAGTTTTACCCGCAAAACGGGCGCAAAAAGCCCGCAATTGCGCGCAAATCCCCGCAATTGCGCGCAAACCCGAAAAGTGTACAATTGCTCGTTTCAGAACCTACCATTTGCCCATGGATCCAGTGATCGGCTGCTGAAGCAGGATGTCTGGTGTTTGGACTCCTACGATTGAGGTTCGAGGCTAAGCCACAGGTATGCCGGTCGATCGTAGGGAGACTTGTCGCTCCTTAGACAACGGCCTTGAGATGCTGAACAATCAAGTCCCATGCCGCCGCCCCTCTCAACTGGACATCGACATCGAAGATCCTAGGTTGCCTATAGTACAGACCATGCACCAAAGCCAAAGCTTTCAGGGTGCCTGATGGGTTTAGCTTGGGGCCTTTAGGTGCTATGACAATTAACAACCATGCAACTGCTGAGGAAGCGAGCCGGAAGATCATAGAGCTCCAGCAGGAGCTGGCCGCCTTCGATGGTGCTGAGGTTCAAGGACATCTAGTACAACAGGAATTGTGGGCATACAGGCTTTAGATATATACATGTGCACATATACATACACATATACATATATACATACATACATATATACATATATACATATATACATATATACATATATACCTATATACATATATGCGTATATACGTATATATATATATATACATATACATATACATATACATATACATATACATATACATATACATATACATATACATATACATATACATATACATATACATACACACATACACATGTATACACACATGCACATATGCATGCACATATACATATACATATGCATATATACATATACATATACATATACATAGGTATACATATACATATACATATACATGACAAATACAAATGCATGCATGACAAATACATGTACATTCTATGTACATATACATTCACATACATATATATGTGTATGTATATATATATATATATATCATACTACATATTATATACACATATACACACACATATACATGTGTGCATGTTACATATCTACATATAATACCTTGTGCAGATGCACACATCCACATACACATGCACATATATATATATATATATATATATATATATATAGTATACCGCCATCTATCTATTATGTTGTATATACGGTTTATGCCATATATGATCATCGCATATGTGCGAAATATATACTAAAAATATACAGCATATACTGCATATGTCTATGCACACATACATGCAGCATTGGCTGAAACAATTGCATGCATATCTGTGTGATATATGTTGTGCTACAGTACGTGGCAACCACAACACAAGAACAACAGAAACAGTGGCAGCAGAGCAAGAGCAAACACATAGCGCAACGCCGCACCACCCCATCACCCTCAGCACTCGATCGATACCACTGCCGCCACCTCCAAGTTGTTTGTGATGTTCTCAGTAGTGCTGGCTAGTCTTGCTTCTGGAGTCCTTGCTGCTGGCGGTGGCCAAGGGGTAGCTGTTCTGCCGACATAAAATCTTATACGCCAAGGTGTGATTGTTGTTGCTGTTGTGTGCCTGCTTCGGCTACAGTATTTATTGCTGCTGCTGATGTTGTTGTTGTTGTTGCTGCTGTTCTTGTTGTTGTTCATGATGTTGTTGTTGTTGAAGTTGATGATTGTTGTTGACGTTGCGGCTGTGGGGTGGGGGTGGGGGTGGGGGTGGGGGTGGGGGTGGGGGTGGTGGTGGTGGTGGTGGTGGTGGTGGTGGTGGTGGTGGTGGTGGTGGTGGTGGTGGTGGTGGTGGTGCTGCTGCTGCTGCTGCTGCTGCTGCTGCTGCTGATCGAACGTGGTTGTTGCGGTCGCTTTTGTTCTGGGCTGGTGGCTGGGGCCTGGGGCCCGTTTTGAAGAATTGTTCTTGTTCTTAAATTGTTAATACCGTTCGAACAGTGGTTGCTTTCTGTTTGTGTTGTTGCTGTTGCCGTTTATTGGGGCTGCTGTTGTCCCGAACTGTATTCTATTGCTTGGTTCTTGTTTCTTTGCGGATGTGTGGTTTTGAATTGAAGTTATGTAACTATATTTCTGGCACGCTTTGTATACGTATATATATATATATATATGGTCTATAGCTTTTTGTTTTTCCTGTTGTTGGTGCTGGGTGCCCCTTGCTGCTGTGCTATTGCAATTTCCACTGCTGCGACTGTTTGCTGTGGCGCGGCCCATGTGTCGAAGGACCCTCTGGTGGCCTGGTTCACTCCGAAGCGACTGCTGGGCACTTCCTTCCGGGTTTGAAAGGTCAAGGTGGTGGTATGCCAAGCGGCATCCCAGCCCCAGTTGCTGCGCATGGAAACAACAGCCCACCTCCCTGCCATCCCGTGCATCATCGCTGGCAACCACTGCAGCGCTTCCAGGGGCTGTTATGGCACCCCCTAGAGGGGGACCTTCTGCTAAGGGGTCTCGTGCGAAGAGTCGTGTGCCACCGGCCTCCCCATGTGGAAGCACCCGCTCTAGTGGATCATCATACTCCGATGGTTCTTACTGGAAGTGTCTTGTCTTTAGTTTTCAGCTAGTGTTCGACTTTGGCATACAGCGCAAATCTTCTGTTCCAGTCGCATTAAGCTATCTGAGGATGAAAAGATACTTTACGCCCAACAAGAAGGGCGAGCTCAAGTGCAGTGAGAAGGCCATGGAGATGTTCAAGGATCCGAAAGGCAGACACACAGATCAATGATACATATATATATATATATATATATATGTACATGGGACGGTTCGTATCCAGCTGTGTGTGTGTGTGTGTGCGTGCATGCATGCATTACAACATGCGTGTGCACACGTGTCTCACCTAGGAGAGAAACTGCGGGACTTGCTTGCCAAGCACGGCGACTTCAAGAGTGTAGAAGTGGAGCTGGAGAAGATCTCGACACAGACTGCACTCAACGAGGTCGCGGGTTCATGGGAGAACGATATCTCCTTGGCCGCCCAAGGCTGGACGGAGTATCTATTCTGCAGCTTAAAGCATACTTCTGTCATGCACATTCAAAAGCTCACGCATGTCAAATGATACTCTGAGGGTGATGATTGCAAATGCCCACCGCTGGGCAGCTTCTAAAGGACTTGTGCGAACGAACCCGGTCCATGGCCTGGAAGAGATCAAGATTCCGACGAAAGAATCCTTCAAGTTCACCAACGAACAGCTTCAGCGTTCCAAGCTCTCGGGAAGCTTCGAGGCTGAGGACAGGATTGTATAACTAGAGGCATTATAAGCCGATCTCGGTTATAAAGTTTAGGGACTCCAGGGTTTGGGGTTGTCTCCTGACAGAAACATCCGATATTAGATAAAGGGGCTCATGGGCCTTAGTCTTTCATGTGATAGATTCTGATTTAAGCATCAGAACAATGCAGTCGTGACCGCTGATGCGACACGTCGTGAGCTCTGGGTTGCTCCTCCCCAGCCAATCCTAGCAACCTGAAACCAAGCCCGAACATGCTCATGTATCGGTCCTGCAGCCATGCTGGCCGGCATCATCCTCAGATGGCTCACAACCTCTGCCGCCACGGTCACCCTCACCATCACCATATGCATATACACATATACATAATTCACGTAAACCCCTTAGATCCCAAGCCTATACTATCCCCATCATAAGATACTATAACATAGCACATGCCACAAACACAAACATATAATCATCCATATCACATCATCGCCATGATCATCATCATCATCGCCATGCTCACCATCACCGTCACCATCATCAGCTTATCGATATGCATCCTACGAGATATATGCTAGCCGAGGGTCAAATCATAGCATCTCATATCATACCGTATCATATCATGTCTTATCATATGATATCGTGCGTGGTATTCATAAGCATTTCCATCCTGCCAGACCATTTAAACATTATCATCTGAAGCCACCATATCATATCATCATTGTCGTTTTCGTCATCATCCTGTTTTCTTCATAAACATGCAGTTATACACAAGTCAAGACCGAAGCATCATCAGTCATTATCACCCAAGCATCCATCGTTGACGGCAGTGCAGGTTACATATGCCGTTCAAGATGTTTTGGCTGTTCTTGCCATCTTTGGGGATTGACGACCTCGCTACAATGTCTGCCAGGGGTTTAGGGTTTAGGGTTTAGCATGGATCGAAGAAAGGGTTCAAGCAATTGCACAGGGCGGTCACGGAACCCGCTGTCCCTGTGCCAGCACGCTTATCATGATTTTGGGTTTAGTATGATCTGCTACCGAGCAACCATGGGGACAATGCCAGGACCGACGGTCACGGCGATGGTAGTGTTAATGAAGTAGGATGCATGTTGGGATGGTGATGAGGATGATGGAAACACATATGCTGTATATATATATATATATATATATGGCTGTGGTGGCCAGGCTGTGATGCTGATGATGAATTTGAATAATGTTGGAATGGCGATGGTGACGATGATGTGCATGTGTACATGTGATGATGGTGTCCAGGGTTGTGGCCATGTGCTATAGTTATACATATACATATATATATATATATATAACTAATATTAATATTATATATATAATTGCATATATATATATAATTGCATATATATATATATATATATATATATATATTTGCAGATGTGTAATCGAGTTTATTGACCGAATATACAACATATGTGATGCCCTGTAAACTGCATATTAAATTTCCTAAACCTTGAAGCGGTACCATATAGGTTCAAGTCCTGAGCGCAGGACTCCTCCGGTTTCCTCTTCGCGAACTCGGTCGGTGTAAACGACACCTTGGTGAGACCAGTTTGCACAAGGTTTGTTCATGCGTACTTTCGAGGATGTGCTTTCGAAGTTGTGTGTCATGCACATAGTAATTATATGCCCAGGACCAACGCGAGTGGCGAAGCCGATGTGAATCATGCTCGTGTCGCACTTTCTGCGGTGGCTAGTGGTGCAAAGGAGAAATGCTTGCCTGTGCTGCAAGCAAACCAGGATGTTTTCAGCAGCTTGTCGATTAATTATGGGTAATACATGCAGCCATTCCTCGCAATACAGCCACGCTATGTATGCTAGCTGTTTTCCCTACAAGGTGTCCTGGCTGTCTACATTGACATGTGTGGCAAGAAAGTTGACAAGGCCACCGAGCTAGCAGTGGCCTGGCTTATGTGCACGTGGGTTGCTTTCGTCTGATCCTCTAAAGTCTATAGGAGTCTAGGGGTTTTGCACGCACATGTGCCCCAAGGACAAGCTCTCCTCCAGTGGTTTGAAACGTGGGCACGAGCAACAATGTTGCATTATGTCATGCTGAAATGTCTTAGCCCTGCCCATCCCCAACCATGCTGCAGCTAAGGCTGTCGAGTGAGTTGAAGCCGAAGATTTCTGAGATGGAACAGGAGTACAAGGGCCTCCTGAAGTTCCAGACGGATGCTGTTCTTGATGCCGGTACCCCGCCGTCGAGGCATATTGTACTGTAGTTTGTTAATGCAATAAACCAATTAAGGATCCACTGCCCTGCTAGGAAGACAAAAGAAGATCTATTGAAGTGCTACGCAAGCTGCACTCGCCTCGACCTGGCTATCAATGCCTTGATGATCCGCGGGAGGTGCATTCTCTACTCTGGAACTGCGTGCAAATCTCAAGTTTTCTATTCTAGTATACATCGAACACATTGTGCTGTCAGGAGCATCAAAATCCCCAGCAAATCCGCTGGATCGCGCCCCAAGCCGAAGTCGGCGAAGGGCCCCGGCAGCAAGCGTGGCAGAGCTCCTTCTGCAAAGGCTTCATCCTCAAAGAAGAGGCGTACGTAAGCGAGCTTACCCTTTTGGGTCTGATAGATCGTTTGGGCTCCTGTGGTGATGCATGGTACCAAGCTGTACGTTGCCTAATGCCGGTATACGCATGCATCTCATATCGTGCTGTGCCACAGGTGCCAGGAGCGACAGCTAGATGTTTAGCACATACACACGTGTGCGCATGTGTGTAATTCGCATGAGACCTGGGGAGCTCGCAAACGTCGAAAAAGACACTCTTGAGACGCTCTGAGTCGAGACTGCAAGGGTCAATCACGCCGAATATTGCTAGGGGCATCCTTGTTGTTTCTTTGTTCGGCCAGGTGTTGGCCTGCGGGAGAACAATGATCTGCTGTCTCGTTTGGCTGGTGGTGCCTGGGTTCAACTGGGGCTTAGGGCTGCCCTGTGTCCCTTGCAAACAATTATAAATCTTCAGATAGGTCGCTTTGGAGAGTTATTTGTTTGGCAGGGTCATCAGCTAGGGTATAGGGCTTAAGGCTTTAATGCTATCGCGCAATAACCCTAAACCCTCTCAGTGTGTGGGATTGCTTACCAGCGAACACTTCTCAAAACCTATAAAACCCAGACCCTTCCTGCGAAGCAAGGCCCGCGCTCTCGGCGACAGCAAGAAGATCATGACCTGGATCAGGAAGCTGCTGGCAATCTCTTAGCGAGGTACTTCAGTGGAGTTCCGAAGCTGCACCGCATCAGCTTCTAGCCCCGATGATGTTTGCTCAAATCGTCTTGCTCAGGCAGAAACTGCCAAAGGGACAACGGAAACGGCAAGGCTGATGTGCAAAATTGGAAGTGGTTCGCGACACCCGGTGGCACGTATGTGTTTGCATTGGGGTGTTTGGTTCACGCGACAAACCTAGGAGAGCTGGACCTACTTTACAAGCTTTCAGCTGCTGGACGTAGTTGTTCGAACACGTGTCGAAACCTCCATCGGCTCATACATCGTGAGAATGTGACGGTTCCTGTAAACATCGACTTCGTCAACACTCCAGTTCGAAAAAGACGGCCTGTCCTCAAGAAGGTTGAGGTTGCCTACCCGGTGATCTACCCAAGCTCTTGGATGAAGTACCTACTGCAGGAGCACAGCTACCTAGTGTTAGGTGGATTTGACATCCAGGATGCTACAGGGTGGCAGGCACTGCTTGCGGATTTTTGGCAGCTGCACAAAGCATATGATCCTGGACATATCATGAGCGGGTGCAACACCCCGCCGACGACGCACACAATACCACTCTATATCCATGGCGACGAGGGACGAGGGAAGTATAAACTTCCGATTATGGTGGAAGGGGTGCAACCATGTATATCCTTTAAGGGTGTGTCGTTCAAGAACAGCAGCGGGCCACTCGATCCTGAACAGCACACTAATGTATACATAGGCTTTTAAAATTTTGTTTCGTAATGCTAGACAAGTACGGACCCGTATAACACAAATCGGAAGGTTTGCAATTTATGTCCCCTTGTTGTGCCCGGCACAGGCACAGCTACTGCACACGATTCCTCTACACCATTGTTCCCGCTGAGCTTTACTGGAAAGATGCCACCCTGGATAAGCTGAACAAGGCTTTCGCCGAAGATCTGTGCAAACTGTACGAACAGGGACTTACAGCCCCTCGATTAAAGTCTCAATACATGGTAAACTAGGGAAGCTGTTGAAAATCTTCGAAGTTGAGGTCGACACTCCTCTGGGGCCCACCACGTTCCACTTTGCCTTGGTGGGTGTGAAAGGCGACTGGGTCTACTTGCGAAAGGTGGGAACTCGAGTTAGGTCGTGTATGACCATGGCATACCACATAGCACCAACCGTGTGTGTCTCTGTGTGTGTGTGTGTTTTGGAGGCGATGGCTTTGAGTACTGGGTGGCAATGCAAACGCAAGTGCCACCTTTGCAGCAGCAAAGTTTCTGGGCTAATATATCGAGCACACCATGCAGGCCCTCTGACCAGAACCTTGCAAATCCATTGTGCATCTAAGGAATGGTTCAACTTTGAAATGGACGCGCCGTGGCGCACTCCGGGTAGGCGTAGGCCCCCGACTCCATTCAAGCAGGTGGGGTCGCCGTTGTTCGCAGTGCCTGGGCTGAGAGATCCAACACGTGCTTTGGTGGATCCAGCCCACACATGGCACATCGGGTCACTAGGTTGCACCAATTAAATAAGATATATATATATATATATATTAAGTGCACGAACCGAATCCCAAAGAAACACATTTTTCTCAACGACGAGGTGTGGCCGGGATTTCGTAACTTCTGGAGTCGTGTTGCTGTGCTTCCTGAAGTTGTTTCCTGGTCGGTGGCTGAAAACTCGCCTCTCGAACGCCTATGCTGACTTCATCCAGTGGTGCAGTGCGAACAAGAAGTCTACGAACATTCGGGGGTTCTCGAAGTCCGGCTTCAAAATGGGCAAGATCCTGGGATTATCAGGCATAGGATTTTGTATACGGTCCTTAATGCTATATGATCAGCCATTGTCTCTAATCACAATCCGGCCTACATGGATTGGTTTGCTTGTCAGGGTGAATGTATACCCATCCAAGGAAGAATGCCTTCCCGTCAGCCACAGGTGGTAGAGGTGCTGACACAGCGATCATGACGTCATGGCTTGAGGATCTTCTGTCCAGGCTGGACCCTGGTTGACATCAGTAACCGTGCGACTTTTCATACAAAGCCCCAAACCCTACAAGCCCTAAGCATAATTTTCGTAACATTGATGTGAAACCTGAAAGGCTTCTGCAGAAGTACCGTAACATAATATATATATATATATACTGAGGAATGCTCTAAAGAAGTCTTTCTGATGCTGAAGTACACCGTCGCCTGTGCCAACAAGTACTTCAGACTGCTTCATGCTGAAGGCCTATGGATGGAACCTGAAACTACTTCCTTGGTCGTAGCAGCAGGAAACGAGATGTGCGCATCTCGGTTACATATATATATATATATATACATATGCATATATAGGTCGGGTAGGGTAGGGTATGGTAGGGTAGGGTAGGAGCCAACACCCCGTACCGAAAAGAACAGTCCCGATCTGAGGCTGGATACGCCAAGCTGGCTCGACGATGCAAGCGGATGCAGTGGAAATTGTTCAAGGTGCGGCCTAAGCTGCACATGCAGTCACACTTTATGCGGCTTTCTGGCAGTTATGTGTCGATAAGATTTGCAATGCAGTACAAAATCAGTGGCTAGGGGATTCATCCACACCGACAATTTAGATCAACTCAGGATACCTCTCCAGGAGGCATCACGACGGGGAGAGAAAGCACTGAATCCTATGAGTCACTCGATCGATAGCATAAAGAGTTGACATGTGCAATCTGTGAGAACTATATAGCTTGTGCGAACCAAGGCCAAGCCTGCTGGTCTGATGAGGATTTTATAGGGCGTACTGCCAGAGTGGCTAGGCGTAGCGGAACTCATGCGCTGAGTGTTGCATACAGAGCTATGCAAAAGATGTTGGGAGCGTATCAAGTTCAGCTGCAGAAGCAAGCCACCGAACGCCGCGGAAGATGAAAAAAAGACTGAGATCGCGGCTCACCCAGATTGAAGGTCTCGAAGATCATACATCATGAACATCAGCTGCAGTTTGATTGTTTGAGCGTTTGAACGCTTTTGCTCTTTTCGAGCGCTTTTCTGTTATTTGAGCGATTCTGCCCCGAAACGAGCCAAAGTACATTAATTGAACCAGATGCCCCTGCAACGAGCGAAAACTTGGCACGTGCAAGAATTTATGCTACAAAGGGTTCTCCAGGCAGATGCTCCAACACACCCTAACCCAGACTCTGGGTCTTTCACAGAATCTGTTTCCGGGGCTCCCCAATATCATCTCGTGGGTTGGTTAGTTGGGGATTTCGACGAGGTCGGGGATCTTCATTATAGGGTTCAGGTTCGGGATACGGTTCAGGGTTTGAGGGGGCTGCGAAGCGCATGCCATTCGTGCCCGCCGGCCTGCCACGACATTGGGCTCCTGGCGGGATAAACGGGAGTTTCCGAAAAAGTAGGGGGACCCTAATATAGCACCCTAAATAGTAGGATCCTTATGATAAGGACCCCAAAATAAGGTACCCCTAATTTTAATGGAAACTCCCAAATTGCACTGAACTCAAAGCGTGAACCCACAACCTGAAGATCTGACGGCCTTGGCTGGAGTCGCCCTTTTACCTTAGGCATACGGGAGTCTCCGACAATAGGGGGGGTACCTTATTTTGGGGTCCTTATAATAAGGATCCTACTATTTAGGGTACTATTTTGGCATCCCCTATTTTTGGAAACCCCCATATTATTTCGGCCTGAAGCAAGGAACGACACCAATGTGATCAGAAATGCAGAAACCTGTAAAGCAGAAAACCCTTGTGAACCCTTCATGGTAGCCCGAAGAAAGGTAATAATCCCTAAACCCTAAACCCTAGACCCTAAACCCTTTAGTTATACAAGAATCCACGGAGATCCTGCCCCCGAATCCCAGCGCCGTTAACCCAAACCCTGCAAACCTTAAAACCCCAAACCCCGGAGAAGCCTAGAACCCTAGTACAACCCTTATAGGGTTTAGGGTTTAGGGGTTTAGGGGTTTAGGGGTTAGGGTTTAGGGTTTAGGGGTTTAGGGGTTTAGGGTTTAGGGTGCAAGAACCTTGCAGGAATCCTGAAAGGAAGCTTGTACGGACACCCACAGGGACAAATACCCCCCCGTACCCAGGTTTTATATGAGCCTGATAGAACTCATCAAAGAGTTCTTGTTGAACACCGAAAACCCTAAACCCCAAACCAAGCCCTCAAAGCCCAGCCTAGAACCCATGCACACCCACTGAGGGACATCTTATCAGACCCCCTGCAAACCCTAAACCCCCAAACCCGACCCTGAACCCTAAGCCCCAAACCCTGAACCCTGAACCTAAATCATACAACCACCCTAAACCCTGAACCTGAATCATTCAAACACCCTTAACCCTAAACCCCGGACCATAACCTAAATCATACAAAGACCCTAAACCCTAAACCGTTTAAACCCTAAACCTTAAACCCGAAACCTTAAGCCTTCAACCCTAATCCACAAACCCTAAACCCGAAACCTTAAGCCTTCTATCCTAAACCACAACCCTAACCCGAAACCTTAAACCCTCAAAATAGCCCAAAAGCCTTTTTTAGTATGGTCTTTGGGTCCCAAAACCTTTATATTTGAGTCCTTAGATCCCTAAACCCTCTTGATCCCAACAAAGGACCCCTTATAGATCCCCTTGAAGGACCCCTTTTAGATCCCCTTAAGGGAAAAGGGCCAACCCTCTGGGCTCCTCAATGAGGCGCTGCTCCAAGGGTGTAGGAGATCGCCAAGCCGCAACCTCCGGGCTGCAGACGACCTGAGCTCTTCGGAGCCTAAACCCTTTTTTGTTTTCGGGTTTATAGGGCTTAATAGGGTTTATAGGGCTTCTTGGAGGGCTTGTTATAGGTTTTGTAGTAGGGTTTAAGATTTGAGGGTTTAGGGTTTAGGGATAAACCCTAAGTTTTCAAGGCCTTTGGGTTTGGGTTTTTGGTTTTCGGGTGTTGTGGGGTTTAGGGTTTGCGGGCTTAGGGTTCAGAGTTTAGTTTTCGGGTGTTAAGGGGCTGTAGGCTTTAGGGTTCTTAAAGTCTTTGGTCTTCGGGTCTTATGGTTAGGGGGTTTCGGGGCCTAGGGTTTAGGGCTTGAGGGGTTGAGGGCAAGGGCTCTGGGAGCATAACGCTGAGGAGCTGAGCAGGGCAGTGGCTTCTAGCAGCTATGTGTTTCTGGGGCATCTCAATCAACCTGCGCTCACGGGGTACATAAACGGCCGTAATTCAAAAAGCATGCCATTTGCCTCATATTTCCACGTATCAGGCTGGTACAGCATTTCGCCAATGAGCACGCGGACTCTGTGGCGATTTCGATCCGTACTGTAGCCTAAACCCGAAATCCTCAACTCCAATCAAAACCAAACCACCAAACGCCCATAATTACCACCGAACCCCAAAGCCTACCAAACCAGTAGCCAAACACCAGACCCATGCAGATAGGTTCATATAATCCTAAGCTGAAACTACATTTGTTACACGTTTAGGGTTCGTCATGGTTCGATGATGTCCTTGAGTACTTTCATTTCGAGCTACAGGAATCCGTGCTAATAACCCTAAACCCTAGAACCCTATACCTCCAAACCCTAATCCACAGCAATCCGTATAGATTGCATAGACCTTGAGAACTAGTGTCTAGAGTAGTGCCCTCGGCTAGATCATCTACATTAAGGCGCCCTACCAAAAGCTACCAAGACATACTTGCCGGTAGATTCTGATCATAAACCCCAATGCAGGTTTTATGGGAGCCTACAACAAAGTAGGTTTTGGTGGTCTTATCTTCCGATATTAAAACCCCAAACCCTCCCTAAACCCTCCCTAAACCCTAAGTCCTGAACCCTGAACCCGAAGCTCTGAGCCCTAAACCCTGAAACCCCGAACCCTAAACCCTAAGTGCTAGACCCTAAACCCGAAGCAACCAAGACCTAAACCCTGAAGCCTAAACCCTAAACCCTGAACCCTAAACCCAATAACGCCCTCTACCCGAGTCGCCGACGGGCCGGTTCTCCAGCAAACATGCCCGCGGGGATGGAGTTCGTCCCAGGCCTTCCTTCAACTATAAGGGTTCCTTGAAGGGCACTATAAGGAATCCTGTAAGGGTTCCTTATAGTACAAAAAGGGTTCCTTTAAGGGTTTAGGGTTTAGAGCTTCCGAAAACTAGGGGCACCTTAGGAGTTCGTGCCGGGCCTTCCTTCAATGACAATCCCTGAACTCCAGAAGCCACCCTACATTCAGTCTTTTGGGGGGGTCAGGTTTAGATTTGAGGGTTTCTGGGGGTTCTGGGGTTTTCGGGATTTTGGGCTTTAGGGTCTTAGGGTCTAGGCTTGAGGGTTTTAGGGTGTTAGAGATTTAGGTTTAGGGTCTTAGGGTGTAGGGTCTTAGCTTTAGGGTCTTCGGGTTTAGGCTTGAGGAGTTTAGGGTTTAGGTGCTAGGGTGGCCCTAAACCCTAGACCCGGGTTCATGGATTTCAGGAGGGAGCAGGGGAAGCCCTAACGTGATATAAGGTGCAACTTATAAATGCCTTAGGCACGTAATTGTGATGTACAGCATATGATCTGAGGGTTTGAAGACCCTC